GTTTTCACAGCTCATGAATTATGGCTGCAGCCAGCATCCGAAACATGCAGAGCAGGATATTATTTTTTTCTTAAGCAATAAGCAACTCACAAAACCCATAGAGGAAAAGCCGACTTTAAATTCGAATCACCATAAATCAACCCTCAAAAAATCTACCGAGGATTAAAAACAAAAGCGAAAGTGTTTATATTTTTATATTAATTCTAATTTTTAAATCTTCATGTCAGCCAATGTCAGCTTTTTTCTTGATCTAACAAAAGAAAATCACCTTCGCTTTATATTTTTCTTTGGTATCCAATTTCCAACGCAAGTAGATAAGAAAAAAATCGTTCTGGCGAAGAGAATCCCTGTCCTTCTCTTTTTCCTCCACTGGCTGTTGCCGCCTGCGTCTCACGGAAAGAGCAGCAGGGCCGAGAGTTTAATTTTATTTCTCTCTTTTAGCAGATAGATAAAGAAACGTCGCGGGGGAGTTTTCTCCTTGACGGGGTGCAGGTCGGAAAAACGAGATGGCCACCGGCTATAAATCTTTGTCTCGCCAGCTTTGATAAGAAAAACAGCGACGCGCGGACTAAACTTGCGTCAAATGCAATTATCATCGTGGCAGACGCCGCTCGTATCTCCTCCTTTGGCTCTATATATATTTTGCTTTAATCGAAACACCTACATAACTTTCAGCCAAAATAAGTTAATAAATAAATAAATACGCGCCCTGTACTAAATTTAGATTAATCGTTCTAGATATGTATATGATAGGGTGCAAAAGGCGGCTGGAAAAGGAGGGAAAGAGAAAATGATAAATTGCGCCGAGGCACTTTATTTGCGAAAGAGGTTGCCGGAATCAACTAAAGCTGCAAACAATTTATCACGTTCGCTCTCAGAAAGGAGTAATTAGTCGGGTAATTAAGAGCAATAAATGAATTGTTTCTCATTATCGGGAATTAATTAGGTTTTAAATACCAACACTTCTTCTTCTTCTTATTTAGAAAGGAAAATAATTTTCTGTTTAATTCTTTTCACCGGCAACACGTGTTCCACGGTGGCCTAATTGGCACCGAGTTGGCCTCACATTGTTTCGCACACACGCGGAAAGCAACTTTGCAATTAAGAGTTTCAACGGCTCTTGCTTTCGCGCGTGTATGCTGCACTGCTGTTTGAGTCACACAAGAAGCTGAAACATGAGAGGGCCCTTCTTGCCAACTTGAACTCGCTCTGCAGCAGCTTTTTGCGGTGCAAACCTCTTTTATGCTACTTGGTTTTTTTTCTACCCAGCGGCAACAGCACCCTGAAGACAAAGAAAGCGACTCAAAGCTTTGGATATTTTTTCGCGCAAAAATCCTGCACCTACGAAACGACGCAAGACGTGTCAGGTAACACGAAACGGTAAAAATCGATACAGCACCAGAGTATTTCAGCCCCGGATTTTTATTTTCAATCAGTCAAATCAATCGTGAATTGAAAAAAATAAAGGTAATTAGCAATGGATATTTGGTCAGATCTATGAATTTAAACGGGGGGGAAATGCAGACTGACAAAATGCTTGATAATTTATATTTTAATGATTTATTTATCTATTTCTTTATCTACCATTCAATACATTAATATTATAATTACACATTTTAATTTTATCATTCATTTTCATTAAAAACTCCAAGTGGTAAAATATTTGATAATTGTTTGTAGTTATCATAATTATTCAAATCAGTTATCTAGAAATATAACAATTTTAATATAATCTAATTGTTATCAGACTTTTATCAAAACCAACAAAACTAAAATTAACTACTCTGTCTAAACAGATTATAGCTTTTCAAGTCATTACGATATGGCCAATTTATTGCATTTATTGAATTTAAATAAAGAAAGTACAAAGTAGATTGCATGACTTTATTCTGGTAATGATTTAAGCTATAATTTATTTTTAATTCAATAAAATCCGAAAGTGATTATTCACAAAAAATTATTTAAAAATGAATGCGTGATCCAATCACACATTATAAAAATAAATTGCAATCAGTAAATGATTGGTTATAAAGGAAAATTAATTTTTTTATACTATTATTGATAAAACTAATTTTTACCAGATTTTTACCTGCTAAAAGCTGAGCAATTAAAAATGAATAAAAAAAACTTTCTTAAGAGTGAAAAGCAATAAGAGGTACAGTTTTTAATTGCTTTGCGCTTCCGCTTTTAAAAGTGACATTATAATTTATTGCTTAAATTGATAATAAAAAACTGAAGGCCCCACTCCATTTTTTTCTTATTTAAAAAGGCACGGAAATAAAAAGTTTTTAGTTCACGTTTAAATTTCGTTGACAACATTTCACTCTGAAAATGAGGGTTTGGGCGATTCTTGTTCTCCTTGCTCTCTCAATTTTAATGGTAAAAAAGTCAGGGTTCAAATTTATCAAGTTAATTTTTAATTTTGGAACACTCACATTTGATAAAATAAATTACTGCTCCCATTCCGCATTTCACTCATTTCTTCATATAGAAACTGAAAGTGGCTATTCTCACAAAAAAATTATTTAAAAATTTAAATTATTTAAAAATGGATTGCGTGCTCCAAACCTACATTATAGAAAAAAGGTGCAATTGTTAATGATTAATTTTTAAGTAAAATTAATTATTTATACAGTTAATAAATTATTTTCCAACTGGAGAAAGCAGTGCAATTACTTTAAAACGTTTTTTTAGAGAGAAAAGCAATTAAAAGATAAAATTGTTAATTGCTTTGCGTTTCCGCCTTTAAAAGTGACAATATAATGTATTGTCTAGATTGATAAAAAGCTGTAGGCCCCTTTTGCATTTTATTATTTAAAAGACACGCACAAAAAGTATTCAGTTCACGTTTAAATTTCGTTGACAACATTTCACTCTGAAAATGAGGGTTTGGGCGCTTCTGGTTCTCCTTGGCCTTTCAATTTTAATGGTAAAAATCAACCTGTTTTCAAAGTTTTTAAATTAATATTCGATTTTGGGACACGATTTTTTTTAAAGGTTAATTGTCAATCGGCAAAAGACCTGAAGTTTAAGAATAATAGCCTCAAAAACAAAACAGTGACGGCTGGAGAAATGGAAAAGTACGTTAAAGATCCTACTTACTGGCAACCCAAGGTTGATTTCGTCTACCGTGAAGCACAAAATCCCCAACCGAGTAAAATATTTCTGAGAACTTTTTTATGGAGATTTGCTCAATTTTATTTTACTTTTATCAGAAAACGCTGGAAAGAGTTATGTGAAAAATTCGGTCATTTCCACGCAAATAACCGGTGGATGGAGAGCGTTGCCGACACAATTTCCATGGCAAATTCTGCTAGTTGTTGATCAAAGTACCTTGTGTGGAGGTTCACTTATTTCAACCGAATGGGTCATGACTGTCGCACATTGCGTCGATGGGTAAGAAAATTCTAAAATTCGCATTGCAGATGTAAAATTGTTTTAAAATAATAATAATAATTAGTGGCTCCAGCTTCTTTGTTGCCGCGGGAGGAGTTGACCAGTTGAATGATCGTGAAAATGGCAAACAAACATACCTGTCAACAATTGCGATAATGCACGAAAATTATGACCCCGAATTTGGCCTAAACAACATTGCTCTGGTCAACGTTAATTTCTTTCTCGGTATATGAATTGCTTATTATTAGATTTGAAATCATGAGACTCCTCCTATTGAAGATAAAAATGTGAACCTTATCCGTCTGCCACGATATTCAGACCATAGCAACAAATTCGAAAATAGAGATCGAGTTGTACTATCTGGATATGGAAAAATCACAGCAGGTAGCTAAAAAATAATTTTTTTTTCAATTCATTCACATAACTAAATGTTTAAGATGGCGACTACAGCAGAAACCTGATGTATGTTTACATGAAAACAGTTACCAACAATGTATGCGCGCGACTTTTTTCACCTGAATATGTGCCCAACTCGGTTCTTTGTACGAGACCAGACTTGAAAAGATCTGCATGCTTTGTGAGATGTTAATTAAATTATGAATCTAAAATAACAATATAATTCTATGTTCTAAATAAACAGGGTGATGGTGGTAATGCTTTGACCATTATGATGGAAGATAAAAAGTATACCGTGATCGGACTTGTGTCGTCCAGCCCAGATCCCTGTGCAGGCCTGGTAACAACTTATACTAGAGTAACCAGCTTTTTGGGATGGATTTCCAGAAACACCGGAATCAAAATTTTAACGTGATTTCTCTGAGAAATGTGAGAATGAGCAAATAAAGCTATCCAATAAAATACAACTGGACGTTTTTGTGAAGCAATGAATTTTTTGATTAACTCACAAATAAAAATAAATAAATAAAAATATTTTACATTTTGTAAGGTATTTTTTTTTTAATTAACACTATTATTTAGATTATATCTAGTATTCCTTACTGCACTAAAAACTAACCTTTTCTATAAAATAAAACAACTTAAAGTTGCAAGAAAGATAATTGAAGAGTCTGGGGTATATCTGTATATTATTAAGGCTTTCCTAATTTTAAGCAAATTAAAAAGTAAAATATCAATTTTAATATTAATTAATTTTTCTATTAATAGAAAAATTTTCAAATTCGCAAATGCGTGTCTGAATTATTTTTATGTTTTAAGGTATTATTCTCAATTGGAAAAAAAATATTTGATAAAAAATTTCAAGCTTTCAAAACAACATTGTCAAAAACTTCATTTGATGCAATTCCTTAATCAAAATCATTGTTAAATGTTCATTTGCCAGTCTTTTGATAACAATTTGGTTGACGTAAACTTTTTTAAATGTGAAATATTCTCAAAATATTGAGAGTATCAGAGCACGCGTCAAAATTATTGCTGCATTAGTGAATTTGGCGACTCTTTAGTGGATTGTAGCACAGGGGCAACAGGAAAACAGGAAGTCCAACTTCCTTTTGCTGGAGCTTCCAATACGTTTGACATCACAGGCGGATGGAAAGAATGATAATATGTGAAAATGCGAAAAATCATTTTCTGCTTTTTGAAGCACTCATATTTCTCACTCCTTGTCAAAAGGAGCTGGGAAAATGAGAGCTCACCTGGTATTTCTGGTTGCTCTACTGAGTCATTTAATGGAGGCAAAATAAATTCACGCTTATTTTAGAGGATTCAGTGAATACAATGGACAATTTTTTGCAGTGCGAATGTGCGAGAGGGAACCTCAAATTTAAGAACTTGGGTATTCAGAATCGTACAGTGACGCCTGAAGAAATGGCAAAGTACGAGAGCGACCCTTCTTACTGGCAACCCAAAGTTGATTTCATCTACCGTGGATCAAAAAATTCCCAACCAGGTAAAGTAGTTTGCAAGGTCGTTTTATCACCCAGTTTTTAAAATTTTATTTCATTAATCAGATAGCGCGGGAGTTAGCTTTGTGATACCATCTAAGGTTTCAACGCAAATTACCGGTGGAATGAGAGCAAAACCAAAACAATTTCCTTGGCAAATTCTGCTAATCGCCGACCAAAGTTGGTTGTGTGGAGGTTCTCTTATTTCCACCGAATGGGTCATGACTGCGGCACATTGCATCGACGGGTGAGACAATATCAATAGAGTCAATTCCGATTAAAAATAAATTAGTGACTTTAAAATTGTGTATAACGAAATGTTTATCATAAAATAGGGGCACGAGTTTCTTTATTGCCGCAGGAGGAGTCGATCAGTTAAACGATCGGGAAAAAGGCAAACAAACGTACCTGTCAAAAATTGCAAATATGCATGAAAATTACAACTCAACAACTGCTCATAACGATATTGGTGTGGTCAAAGTTAAATTCTATCTAAGTATGATGATTTGTTATTGATGATTTCGTTCCATTTTTAAACATTCAAATTTCCTAAAAAGGTCAAGATGTGAATCTCATTCGCCTTCCACGTTACTCAGACGGGGCTAACAAATTTGAAAACATGGACAATGTTTTGCTCTCTGGTTACGGACAGACCGCTGATAGTAAGTTTAATTAAATACTATTCTTTCTACCTTACATAATAAAACTTAAAAGCTGGCGACTCAAGCAGATACTTGATGTATGTTACCATGCAAACGATTACCAACAATGTATGTGCGCGGCTCTATGCACCTGAGTATGTGCCCAACTCTGTTCTTTGCACAGGACCCGATGCCACAAAATCAGCATGCTTTGTAAGATGATCTATTCAAGTAGGAAATGTAATTAGCTGCCAATTATTTTAATTTCTTGACTGCTCAGGGAGATAGCGGTGGCGCTTTGAACATTCTGATGGCAGATAAAAAATACACCACGATTGGAATCGTCTCTGGTGGTCCAGAACTCTGTATCAACTACATCTCAACTTACACCAGAGTGACCAGCTTTTTGGGATGGATTTCCAAAAACACTGGAATCAAAATTTTAACGTGATTTCTCTGAGGATTTCGAGAGTTAGCAAAAATGGTTGATCAATGATATAATGAAATTCTATTTTAAAATGCGGAATAAACCTTTACACTGGAAATTTAACGCATTAAAAAAAAATTGTTTTCCAGTGATACTTTCTAACCAATTTTCCATCATAAAATAAGCAATTATGATTTTAAGTAATTTATAATTTATTTATAATTGAACCATGAATTCATTTGTATATATCAAAGCAAGTTATGATATGACACTTACTTTACTGCTTTGTCAACGCTGGTGACTTTGACGCTAATGACGCTGCCGTTTGATAAAAATAATTACAGTTGGGCGTTTCACTCAGTTTCCTGACTTTTGAAATTTCAGTGATATAAAAGCGAGGAAACCTTGAATTTTGAATTTTCAAAAACGCAGAACACTTCGAAAGATGGGTCAAAATTTTTAAATTTTCGTCATCTTATTTTAATCAAACTTTAAAAACTATGATATAATAATCAATTTCTATTTTTTTACTATTTTTAATGATTAACTATTAATAAATAAAAATTGTTAACAGTTTATTAAATGTAACCTACATAAATTATGTAAAAATATGGAAAATTGGCTTCATTATATGCGTTTAATTATAGGAAATCGTTTAGAAACTTCATGCAGAGCTCTTTAAAATTCTCGACAGTGAGAATTTATTGAAGTTTATTACTAAAAATTTTGAACTTTGGAATTTTTTAATTATTTCTTCCATCATAATATTTTCACTTTGTTTTGCGCATGACGTCAAATAAAAAGTAGCACAGGGGCAAGCAGGCCGGAAGCTTGGCATCCATTTGCTGTGACTTTAACCGAGTTTACCATTGCGGAAGAGTGCGAATATGTTAATGGGAAAATGAAAACACCTGTCTTGTTTTTCATTAAACGCAGCATTCTTAAAGGAAAATGAATGCTCTGCCAATATTGCTTGCTCTTCTGAGTTTTTCAGTGACGGTAAAAAAACAATAATTTAGAGGATTTAGTGAAACCTAAAGTTAATTCATTTTGCAGGGCGAATGTCAGGAAGAAAACTTCAAATTTAAGAATTTAGGCATCAAGAATCGGACGGTGACATCTAAAGAATGGCTCAAGTACAAAAAGGACCCGTCAAACTGGAAGCCCAAAGTTGACTATGTCTACCATAAATCCACCAAGCCTCAAGATCGTACTCATTTTAATTGAAAATACTTGAGTATTTTTTATTCAAGTGTTTTTTGAACAATCAGAGAGCGCTGGAATTAGCTACGACGTTGGAATTTCAATGCAAATCACTGGTGGAATGAGAGCGCGGCAAAAGATGTTTCCCTGGCAAATCTTGCTACTTGCTACTGAAGGTTGGTTGTGCGGAGGTTCACTTATTTCTTCCGAATGGGTCATGACTGCGGCTCATTGTGTTGATGGGTGAGAGAAATTTCGTTTGTCTAGATGTCTAATGGAAATTGAATTTTGAACAACCTTAAATATTCAAGTAAAGATCATTTATTATAGATTTATTAAATTATACTTAGCATTAATATATTAATGAAATACACCTCAAGCATTTATTTTGCTTTCAATTTAATAATTTTAAGTCGTTAAAGGAGATTGAACATTAAATTTCTTAATTTAGTGCCTCAAGTGTTGTCATCTATGCGGGTGGAATTGATCAGAAAAATAAGCAAGAAAAAAACGAGCAGAGATACAGTTCAGCGACATTAATTAAGCACGAAAATTATGATGCAAACTTGACCCAAAATGACATTGCATTGGTTAAAGTTTTATTCACCCTAGGTAGTGCACAAATAACGTGTTAAATTATTCACAATTAAAATTCGTTTTCAGATAAATTTGTCAATTTGATTCGCCTGCCGAAATATTCTGACGCTACTAACGCATTTGACAACAAGAAAGTCCTACTTGCTGGATATGGACAAACTGCCGACGGTAAACAATATAATCAATTTTTAATTTTTAAAAATTCTTTATTTTAGTGGGAGCATCCAGTAGATATATGATGTACAATTTTATGAAAACGATTACGAACACTGAATGTGCGCTGCTTTATGCACCCGAATATGTGACCAGCTCAATCATTTGCACGGGACCTGATAAGAAAAAGTCAGCATGCTACGTGAGATTTTTTAACAACAGAAATCATTGCAAAAATAAGGTTTCTTAATAGGGTGATAGCGGAGGCGCTTTGAACGTTCAAGAAAAAGATAAAAAGTATACCGCAATAGGAATTGTGTCCTCTGGACCCGATCTCTGCATCAACTTCATCTCAACCTACACCAGAGTGACCAGCTTTTTGGGATGGATTTCTGAGAAAACTGGAATTCAAATTCTAGCGTGATCCTCTGCTAAGCTAATCTGTTTTTATTATATTTAAAATGAAAAAAATTTCGAACGAAATTTATTAAATTTTCCTTCCTTTTTTAACGTTTTGTATTTTTAATTGATTTAATTTTTTTTATCATTTCTTATAATGTATGATGTTTCTTACTTCAAATGGACAGAGATTGGCTCTCATGATACACTCTCATTTTAGACTAAATTTATGTAATTGCTTCAGAACAATCATGTCAATGACCTGAGAGGGAGATCAGCCCTTGAGATTTAGAAGTCCTGACGCCACCGCTGGTGCCATTCCCAAGAGGGAAAGACAAATAACTGCTATAAACTTTGCACATTTTAAGTATCTGTACTATTTATAATTTAGAAAAGTTTTGAAAACATTAATAAAACGATTTAATAAAGGGCAGGAAAATATTTATTCCACCTTCTAATATAACATTAAAATGTCACAAAAATTATTTACACAAACTCAAAAGGAAAAAAGATACAATAATTTGATTAACTTATTGAACCAATAGTGAGAAGTTTTTTTACATCAAAAATATAAAAAAGGTTATAATCCATTTAAAATCCTATTGTAACTAAATTTCCGTAGTTTTTAATTGTTATCTACCATCATTAATTTTTGATATAAGGTGTTAGCTTAAATAAACACTTTCTCTAAGTACTAACTATTGCTTTATTGCTGTTCGGAGGGTTGCAAAGGCACCAGAGAGAATTACATAGAACTTGGCGGTGCACAGTTCGCGAATATGTAACGCAGTGTTTTGCTCAATTTATGAATAACTTCAATTATCCCCGACAAGGCGAAACCTCACAGAGCGTGTGATGCAATAAAGTTTTCATACGAGACAGCATACAGCGCCAATTACGTTCAATTTCGCAGCCGCTTTTGACTTGTGCTGCCAGAAGAGAGATGCAAACGGGCCGCATAATAGAGCCGCCTTCTCTTTCAAAGGCAGTTTTGCCCCGTGTCATTATTATTCAATTAAACATCTCTTGCCCGCTCTTTCTGCGAAAACGGCCTTTCTATTGCCTCCCTCTCTCTGGTAGAGAGCAAAATTAACCTCAATGCTTAATTGCCACCGGGGCCGAAGAGGAATTAGACGAATTAGGGGTTTCTCTCTCTCTGTTATTAGACATTTGAGCTTTGATGTGTCGGATTTGATTTGCAGCAGAGGTCTCTTCTCTTTGATTGGCGATGATTTGGCACCTGGACAATTGGATTAACCACTGCAAATAAGCAAGCAAAGTGCATCAACGACTTGTGAGTTTTGGGTTTTGGTCTTAAATTGATTGTATGTGAGATCAGACAAGTAACAAAGATATTTTATAGTATATTTTAATAATTTGTTATAGACGGTAAATTATAAGAGATTGGATTTTTAAACAATTATTTGATTACTTTACAAATTATCAGCTATGTATACGTGATTAAAAAAATGTGGTTCATTTTAAGCAAATTTATGTTGAAACGGCAATGCAATTTTATACAAAGAATTTTGACAAAAAAGCCACGTGTTTACATCAACCTAACCTTATTTTTTTTTTTATGGCGCTGTAATTGCGTCCTTTTTTCTGCTTCCTCACTTTTTATCAGAGTGATTATTTTAATGACCCGCGGCCACCATCATTAAGATACTCCGCCGGTCAAAGAAAGGCATAAATTACAACAACACGTCACGTCTCTTCCTGCAATTAACTGAAACTGTGACCGCTGTGACCGGGCAAAAATATAAATCAGCAACTATTTTTACAAATATGTTGCATAATTTGAGCATGGCTACTTTTCTATTTATTTCTTTGACTAATTTTCGTAAAAGAAATCATTTTTGGTATTTTGAAATGGAATAAAACGCAACGAAAGAATAATGTTGGTTTTTTTTAGCATTGTCTTAGCCGCTCAAAATTGTGGCAACTAAGGAATGAAAACAACAAACAAGAAAATGACATGCTTTCAGTCCAATCAAGTTAATCAAAATTTATTTTCAAAATTTAAAAGAATATATTGTGGAACTTATTGAATTTTCTTTATCTTATTCTACAATAGGAATCCCAGTTTTTTGAGAAATCCAATCTAAGAAGGCAGTGACCCTGGTGAAGACCTCGGGGTAAGAGATGCACGAAAATTTGTAGTAAGAAAAAATTCCTATTGCCGTGTAAATTCCGTCTGTGTCTTTCCACACTAAAGGACCGCCAACGTCACCCTTTGTGTGTTTAAAAAACCAATGATAAAAATTATCTCTCATGAAATAGAAATTCTAGCTCTTTAATACCGTGCAAACGCCTTTTTTGCTGTCAGCGGCCGTGCAAAGGATTGATGGGTTGAAAACGTTTGAGCCTAATTTCAGAGAGCAGTTGTAATTGTCAATCGTTTTCAAGGAGGTGAACATCATGTATCGATTTGGTGTCTGGGAAGCTATTTTAATAATTTTTATATCAAGCAGAAAATTAAATTATATATTATTCTATATTTTTTTGTTTACTCTTGGTTGTGACACCAAATCCAGCAGCGATGACGTTGAGGTTTTCAAAGAGATTTCCCACTTGCGAGCGTTTAGGTAAACGCAACGCCCCAACGTACACTTTGTCTGTAATAACCAAAAGGCCCAGCAAATTTTAAATTCTTTAAAATTAAAAAAAAAATGTATTTAAATTTTTTTAACCTTTTTTTATAAATATTTATCATATTAACCGAAATAAAAAATATTAAATTAAAAAAATATACCCAGTGTAAACAAAACTTTGATGAGGCCAATGTCATTTAGTTCCATATCTTTATTATAATTCTCATGCACAATTTTCGTCGTTGATGTAAAGACCTGCTCGCCTTTTTCCTTTGCATTTACTCGATCAATCCCGCCAGCAAGAACCACAAAATTATTGAAACTAAATTAATTTTTATTTAAAAAACATATGCGTGTAAATGCTTTTTGTTAACCTAGATATGCATTTTGTGGTGGTGATGACCCAGTCCTTGGAAATTATCGCACCTCCGCAGTAGTTGGACGTGTCAGCGATAATGAACGCTTGGAAGGGAAACTGCGTTTGCTTTGCTTTTGTGCCTCCAATTATTTGGCCGGTTATTCCTGCGGAAACCTTCGCCAACAGAAACTAAAATTTGAACATTTTTTAACAGATTTTTTATGTAGAGGCAGGATTCTATTTTGCGAATTTTAAACAATTTTATTTTTATTTTTTACCTCTTCCGCGTTTCTTTAGGTCTGAACTGAATCTGAATATATTTAAGAAAATTACGAATTAATAATTCAGACCTTAGGAAACGCGCAAGAGGTGAAAAATATCGAAAAATAATTTTTCGAATTTCTCTTACACCAACCCCAATTATTAAGATCAGCGAAACAGTCAACGGTTGATTTCCCATTTTGTTGTTGTGGAAATAACAGCTTAGTTTTGGATTTCAAAACTCAGTATACTCACTCGGCAGTGTCATTGGACGGTTTTAGAGTTTGCTACTGCCTCATCTAAACTTCCGCTTTCCCATCCTCTTATTTCCTCTGTAAAACATAAAAGCTCGCGTCATCATCAAGGAAAAACAGAACGCTGATGTTTCACACGTAGATTGATTGATGCAAAATCAAACTTCAAAAGGCTGCAGGGTGGAGGCCAGACAAATTTTCATACAATTTTTACAATACCTCAGCAGTGCTCGGTGGAATTTAATTTAAAAAGTGATGGAGCGAAGCCATAATATTAGCATTAATACAACAAAATATTCAGCAGCGGCGAACAACAATGCGCGGAAAGCATTTCGCGGTGGAAATTTATACATGTTATTTTATGAGCGAGCTGAAGCCCCATTTTCGGTTTTGAAACAGGCCCCAAAGTCACGTAGCTGGCGCTCTTTGTCAAAACTCGTTTGTTCGGCTTGTTTTGTGCGTATTTTGAGATATATAACATGGTTTATATTTTTGGTACATATAAATGTAATTATTGCCGCTGACGACGAGCGAAATAATAATAATGCCAGGGTGGGAGGCGCGGGGGCGGCAGGCAGTGGTGGCGCGAGGTGATAAATTCTGTTTTCCAGGTTAAATACACTGGCGCCGTTGTTGTGTGCGAGGGCACGCAGGCATGATAATTTTCGTTGCGCCCCCCGCTTATGATTTATTGTAACGGTTCGCGAGCGCGATTCTGCCCTGCGCTATACACAAAGCGTGTTGGAAAATCCTTTCAAAGTCCTCTCTCTCGCGAATAAATTTATATAGTTTTGTGTGCAAACGGAATGGGATTAGAGTAGACGAGGGAGGCAACGCGCTTTGGTGAAATTGTTTCCAGAGCCTGTCATGTTTTTGGTGAAAATTGCAAATTGAAAATTCATCATTAACAGATTGCGAGGTTGATAAATTGAACTGCAGTTTCCCTCTAATTCCTGCAAAATTTATAATAGCATTAACAAGAAATTAATTAAAACTTTTTCAATAACTTGAGCCGCATTCGTTTTGCAACTATTTTTACTTCATTGGATAAAATAAAATATTAGATTATTGAACGACAACAATATTACGAATGAGAAAGAACTTCTGCGTAGAATGATCTTCGATGGTGGCCTGCGGATTTGATTTCCCCAATAATTGTATTCAACAGAGACAACAGTATGTATTTAAATTTTAATAAATATTTCCAGCGGTAATGTTAGATTTGAAAAAAAAAAAATACAATGAATAATGCAGGAATAAAAAAAAATCAAGTCAAAATTTCCATTTTTTTTACAGAGTCAAACATTACTTAATAGGAAAAACCCACACACATCTTGGCCAGGGGCTGCCGCCATAATTCTGCTAATTCATGAATTGCATTTTATCAACTTTTTTTTTTCATTTATGGTACAATAATTTTCTGTTGTTTTGTTTCAGCTTCCATTTTAAAAATCCCCTTTCTTACTGACAAAATTTAATTTCATTATTACGCAAATTAAAACAAGCTCGCGCTTAACAATTAACAAACGTCACTTTTTCCCAGAAGCTGCAAAAAGGGTCTCGGGTGGAATTATTATTCTTGTGTGGGAAGGAAAGTTGTCCAGGCGTCGTCAGAACAATTGGAGCAATTCTCAGCGCCACTCGAGTCGGAGCATTTGTTTAGGCAGGCGGGCGGCTAGGCGGGCAGGTGTCCCAGGCGACGTTACAAATGAGTGGTGCGCTCTTTATTAAGGCTAACAAGAGTTGCAGAGCAGGGTTGGCAGGCACGGTAGTGTATTTATTATTTATCTCGGCAGCACAGCTAGGCAGGCCGCCGCAGATAAAGACCTGCCTCTGTGCTGCTGGTCCACTGATTAATTAATGCGATTCGAATTCCGCCGACCTGCTCTTGCTATTTGTGCGCAGGTTGGTGCGGTTTGAATGGGTCTTTTGATTTGATACCATCTCTGACAAAGTGATCGCCGCCGAAATAACCCCCGGCGGCTCACGTACAGCTGCTTAGCCGGTTGCCTATCTATCGCGGCGAGCCAAGTGGCGCCGCAACCCCAGCAGCCGCGCCGCTTTTGATGTCGATTTCATTGTGTGCTTTTGGCAAATCGAAATAGCTTTAGTAGTAATGTGTCCTTGCTACTCTATCCAGAGACGATTGTGAGCGCTCGTGAGCCAAATATTAATATCGGCACGTATGTATTTTAGACGAGGAGACGCGCATAAAAGGTGCTTCCGATTGTATCGAGTTTGACGAAACGGCGAGGCATGCAGCAAAAATTTAAGGTTGCCACCAAACGAACATAATTTATTTTACATTTTAAAACTTAAAACATCATTGTTATATTACAATTTATACAAATAAATAATTTAAAAATTTATATACCTTATTGCTAAGTTACTGTTAATTGTTTTTACATTTTATTTAATTTTTCTTAAAGTTATTTTATTATATAAACGTACTAGATTTATTTTCGCAGATTAACTTCAATAAGAATAATTTTTGTAAATTTAAACGCAATAAATTTTTATATTTTCAAGAACATAAAAGTCTTAAAACCACACAGATACTTTAAAAATAATTAAGATGGGCCTCTCAGTATAATTCACAATATCACGCCCCGTCTTGTTATTAATTAATCTCATAATGTAATTAAGCTACAATGATTACAGCTGCAGTTATTCCCCGCTGTAAGTAAAAAAAAAATGCATTAATTATTGCTCCTATTTTTTTTTTATCTCATAAAAGCAATAAAAAGCCAATTTGTTATTTGTTGACAAGACTTTTCATCTATTTTACTTATCTAAATATTTGGAATTTATTTTAATTTTTATGTTTATTTTTAAATTAGATAATTATCACTTAATTTTATACCCCCCTGTTAAATTCCTTCCCTAATAAGAGTAGATTCCTTTGAAGAGGTCTCCTTTCATTGTACCTCTTCTCATCTTCTGTATTAGAATATTCGGGTCCATATATACTATAGAATGCATAACTTGGACCGTCCGTTGGCATCGTGTGCTGGTCATCCGCTCGCTACCCCCTTGCTTCTTGAGGGGCGACTTGGCTGATTGTGATCGCGGCGGCGGCGGATGATTGTTTGTGAAAAGCGGAAGACCGCAGCCAGCAAGCAAAGCACTCTTGGGCCAATCTTGTTAGGCATGCAGGAATTCGCTCACTAATTTACTTGCCGCCGGCCACGCCAAGAGCAGGGGTCATTCAATTATACGGATCCGCGCTACGTCCGGAGAGAGTTAATTTGGATGGCCCATTCATTCATAATAGATCGCGCGAATTCGCGCAGAGCAAACCCCAAACTCAAGTATGCAAATTGGATTATCCCTCCAGCTTAAACCTCTCCAGCACCCCGACAACAACGGCCAAAACACACTTTTAAACACCCGAATGGCAGCCGTTTTCTCTCATTACCTTTTCAATTAGCGTGATTTTCGCTCCAAAGAGAAAATTCCCGACTCTCTCAATTTGGGGCTAAAAGGTGGAAGGAAATTTAATATTCCCCAAGGGCGAGAGGCAAACAATTAATATCGATTCGCGAGAACAGAGCCAGAGATTTCCAACGGTGCGCAATTTTGAAGTTCAACATTTGCAGAAGACGTGGGCTAAATTAAACAGGGTTACGTATGAAAATATCAGTAACCGATTTAGATAAAAATCTAACGCTTAAAATTGGTGAACCAATTCAAGGAAGTATTCAAACTTTGCATCATTAATTTATAAAAAAAAAAATGTAAAAAAGCTGGTGAAATGTAATTGGATTAATTGGTGAAAAGCCTGGAAATATGTGTATGTATAGTTATTTGATCAGGTGCGTTTCTTTTTTTTTTTTTAAATCAATGTAATAAAATAATGTAATTTAATTTGATTTTCATACATTTCTTAATATTTATTCCAACTGATAAAATTATTAGCTTTTAGCATGCTGCATAGCTCCCATTTTAAACATAACTTAATGAAACGGGTTGGGTCAACACCAAATAAATTGTTCTATATAACACAGGAAATTATCTTGTTACATGAAATATTACTAAAAGTCTAATTTGGTTAAAACTGTTGTGCATCATGTTACTTATTTAATTTAATTAGAGGCATATGGAATTTTAAATTAAAAAATTTTACTGAAAAAAAAGCTTTTCATGAATAAATAATAAATAAATGAATAATTAAAATTCAAAATGTTAAACAAATACAATTTTTTTCACGATTAAATATCTCAATATTCCCTACAAAAAGCAAGAGACATATTAGCATGGCAATTAGTATCGATTCAAAAGAACGAGCAAGGGATTATTTCTGACGGTGTGCAATTTTTAAGTTCAACATTTGCACAAGACAAGGGCTTAATTAAGTTGGACGGCAGAAGAGCGTGCAGGCATCGATTATGACGGACGAAGAAGCGGAGAGGTGCGGATGAAAATTTAATCTGACCACCGTCGAGATAAAGCACACGGAGAGAAAACGTTTTCAATATTGCACAAAGCCCAACAACCAACAGCACAAAAAGCTCCAGCAGTGGTTGTGGCTCAAAGTTGGAAAAGAAAAGGAGCCGGCCTGCAGTTATATATATTTACAATTGGATTATGCCCGGTCGTGATTTATCTAAAGTCGCGTGTGCTGCGGCTTTCTCATGGATTATTTTCCAGCTCGGGCGGAAGAAATGGACTGCCCGAAGAGGAAATGCCCGCCTCAGGCTCATAAAGTGGAATCAATTTCTTATGGATTCACAGCGAACCAAGCTGCTCTTTGCTGTTTTATCACACACAGGACTCGTGTCGCCGCTGCTGCGCCGCCTTGGCCCAGCGTCGATCTACATTTCCTGATAAAATGTGCGGCTTTTCTGGAGGGGATCCGACCCGGGAGATCGCCCTGCAGATTCCCTCTGCTCGGATTTCCAGCCCCAGGGGTTTACTTTTTCCGATGATTGCTTTAAAGTTGAAATTTGCTGGGCCTCTGGAGGGTTATATAGAGAAAAAAAAACTCATAAAAGTCTACAAAAAGTAATTTATTATACATCTTCGGGGCAAATCAAATCGTCAAATCGATCTTTTTTTATCTACCCTTCTCAATTCGCAGAAAGTTATAGTCATCGGAAGACGCACTTCCTTGTGGAAAAGGAATCGACTTAATTTGTTTTTTAATTGTATTTTGTTTACACTGGGAAAATATTATGTTCTTTTACAAATCTCAAATTTGACATTTTACTGACATTAAAGTGGATAAGAGCGAAATTCGCTTTTAAAAACTTTTTTTTTTAAATAAAGTTTTATTCGAACTCCCAGAAACAGAATGCATTTATTTTATAATATTAAAATAATATTGACGCATTATACTCATATTTTAGGTTTATCATGAATTTTCTTTAATAAATTGTATGTGCTGATCTTTTATTTTCACAAAGAATTGCAAATTTAATAATGCAATACTTTGAAACACTATGTCATTTTCTTGTCAACACTTTTCAATTAATTACTATTTAAACAAATTGATAGTTAAATCAACATAATTGTTCGTGAATTTTTTAAATTAAATTGGTCCTTGGTAATTTTTTTTAGAACATTTATTATTTAATACGCCATCAGCTTTAAAGAGGGACACGTACCAACACAATATAATACGCTTGGCTGGAAATTGGGCTGCCAATTTCAAGTCAACTCTCGCCAAATTGCGGCCCACCCCGGAACAAATTTGCGTGGCGCTGTCATGTGCCAAACGCACGCCGCGGCCGATGGTTCGCGATCCCTCGGCGATTAAATTGAACAAAATTTGATTGGCACTGGGAGTTTTTGTAAAAACTGCAAAAGGCTGCTGCGCACATACAGACCGATGAAAATGATTTACGCTCATCGCGGGCCATTACGGAGGAGCAATAAAAGTTCAAAAATAACGGACGACAATCCGCAACGACAGCCCTGAATAAGACAATCGCCGTCGTAGAAATTTATCTGCGGCCATAAAATAACCGTCGGTCGTGATGGCCGAGGATTTTTCACTGCCCTGCAAAATGATCATCAAGCAAACGGAGACTCGGAGAGCGGTGAGCCAGTTGGATAAAAACCACCCCTGCTGCCCATTAAAGCGAATAAAATGCCCGGCATCCAGCTGAGGTCCTCCTTGCTCGATTGCGGAGAAATACACAAGCAAGAATGGCATGGCCGGGGTGGCGTTTTGCAGGTGGAGCAATTTGGCAGCCGAGCATGCATAACGCGATCCAAATTGGATCGACGCAAAAAAAGCTCAAATGGACGATTTGAATTGAATGAGAAGAAAAGAGGAAAAGGTCGCTCTCGCTGCGTGCATCTTTAGTTGACCAGCCATCTCATCTTGAGAGCAGCAAAAGAGGGCGAAAAAAATTCGGATATGCTGGGAGGACGGTGGTCATTTCAATGGGGACTAATGGCAAGAGTGGATTTCTGCCACAGCCAGAGCGAACAGATACGCCATTTTTTTTCTTTACTGAAGTAAAAGAGCCAAATTTACCGTAGCTATAAAATGTGTAAAACTTCTTGAACGTTTATTGACGAAATAACCTATTAAAAATTCTACAGCACAAATACAGTAAATTTATATTGAAATTTTATAAATTGTATGAAAAAAATACTTGACTTAAAACGACGGACCCTGAGAGTATGAACTACTGGGATTTTTCATTTAAAAATAAAATAAATATTATTATGTAAATAATAGTATTTAAATACAAAACGAAAAAATCAAACAGAAAACAGTAAACAAAAAAAATTATAATTTATTAATCTTGCTCTTACATTGCAAATCCAAGAATCTGGTAGTATGCATTAAATTATTTTGTTCATAATTGCATATAAATAAAATATAAATGGTCTTCAGAGCGAACTGACAACCAAAGTTTTGTTGCCGACAGTCGCGCAAAATGCTTTGGGCAGCAGTTCACAGCCTCAAATGCGTTACACCGCGTTCTGCCCATTTTGCGGTCGGACGACCATCATGCAGCATAGTTAGTCAGTTTAAACCGAATTTTCATTCGCCGTGCAGTCTGGCGAGTTTTCTGACCCCGGCAAGATTAATTACCAGTGCGAGCTGCGAGTGAGCATTTGAAACGTGCCATTTCCCTCGGACCGGACTTTGCGAAAGAGCGACAAACAGCGCGCTTAACATGAAATGTCTCTCGTCAAATTCAGGCGAAAAAACACCAGGGAGGATTTGCGGCTTCATAGAATGGAATATCAGAGACCATTCCGAGGCCGCAAACACCACCCCTCAGTAAGGTTATAATTGCGAGTCAGGGGTTAGTTTTGTTCCCTATCTAGGTATGCGCAGACCAATAAAACCGAGTGGCAATAAATTTGGCCCGCTGCTTATTATACATAGGTGCGCGACGAGGAAATCTCTTCCCTCTTGGAAATTTATACACATAAAGGTGTTGTTGCACGTGGGAGGCTGTAAAGTGCAGCAATATCAAAGTTGCTCTACACACGCGCTCGCGCCTGTGTGAAATGGGAAAACTTTGGCTGAAGCGTCCCTCATTGTCCTTTTGTCTCCGTCCTTTGCTCGGCCCAGCCGGATAAGACGCGCGCGCGACTATAAAGACGAGAGCGACGTGTGTGTGCAAGCTTGCGAGATATACGGCCGAGTGCTCAGACTTGAACCAAGATTACGTGTGCGCAACGTACTCGGTCTCACCTTGAAAAATTTCACCCTTATCTCTTGTTGGAAACGAGGTCAAAATAAAGTTATGGCCTGCAAAGTAGTGTCACGCAGTCGTTTCGCGAATGTAAAAAAAAAAATCAAAAGAAGTTTGCGAAATAGCTTGAGGGAAGTGCATGAAAATTTAAACTAGGAAGTTCAAGTTCTATCGATGCATTCTTTCAATTTATATTGAGAAGCGACACATCCAATATGGTTAAATATATTTTTTCATGATTCATTCCAAATTTTCACATGATCTTTAAAAAATTAATTTTTGTATCCATCGGCTTAATGTTCGAAATTTACATTTTATAACCATTGTGATTTAAAAAAAAATCTATAAAGATGCAATTATGAATTTTTAATAGTATTGTTCCTACATGTAAGGATTATCCTGGAAAATTTTCAGCCTAATCAAAGATGGCTTTGGAAGTTTTCGACATGCAAGCACGGAAGGGATTTTGAAGTAAAAAAGGTCTGATAGGGTTTGACCAGATTTGGTTCGTTTTCCGCCCAAGGGAAAGTTATGTTCCCGCGGGATAGCTTTTCGCTTGAATATTGCAATCAGTGCAAAGTTTTGGCCGTAATGTGATTGAATGGCGCGCCCGGCGTGTCGGGTCGGGGCGTAAAAGCCATTGTGCCGAACGTCCATTCGGCTGCTGATAATTCTTTCGCACTCTCTTTTGTGCCGGCGGGCCGATAAGTGCGAAAGGAAGTTAGTAAGAGAAAGGGAGAAAGAAAGCCTATCGGTGTGTGAGAGGGAGTAAGAAAGAAAGAGCGGGTTGAATGTCTGCTTTTCTGCAGGGACAAAGGAGAGTTTCTTTCCTAAGATGTCATCGGGACTTAAAATAAAACTTTTTCTCTGCGCGCCGCTTCTTAGCAACTCCACTCTCGGGCCCCCAGATTAGGCGTCAAAACTTTAACGCTAGTGGGAATTGCGGAAGGCAAGTTTGCCTCCGAATTTATTGCGTCCCTCCGCTTGCTCAACTACTTAATGATCTTGAAATATTGTCCTCGGCGCTGCTCGCGAGCGAGCGAGTGCGCGACGCGCATTATTTATTCGCCGGCTGCGCCCCGCGGAAAGAGTCTAATAAATTTTAACCTCTTTGTTGTGTTCACGCTGGATTCCGAGAGCCGACGAGTGAGTTATACTGCACCCTGGCCACCTCCTTTTCAACCCCCGAAAAAAATAAAGGAGCCGGTGAAAAATTCACCAGCAGGAACTAGCAGGGGAGTAAAAAAAACCAAGGAACTTACCAGGACCAGGTTCGCTGCTTCCAACATTTCTTCCCCCAAATTCGAGTTGACCGCTGTAGAAACTAATTGGATTGATGGTCTTCGGGGCAAAGTTTGTCAATCAGCAGCACTGCAAATTAGAAGTGAGGGGGATAAATAAATGAAGAAACACAAAATATTATTAATTCAGGATATAGATTTTGCACTCTTGAATATATGTCAGAAAATACACAATTTAGTACACTTTTGTTAGCCTCAGAAGTTTTTAAATGAAGATTTGACAAAAAAGCAAGAAAAAATAAATAATATATTAAATAATAATAATAATTTAAATATATTTAATGTAATAATTTAACATACTAAAACTAATGTTTTTTTTAAATTTAAAAAAAATTAATAACTCAATAAAAAGCAGCTAAATTGCCACTAAAAAATCATATATCTTTCCTTCAACTTCCCCAAACTATACCAGGAATTCAAACATGTAAAGCATCCTGCAAGAAGTTAAAAAAGTACGAAATGAAACATAAAAGATTAATTTCTTAATTTTTAATTACAAGCTACATTTGCTTGCAATTTCAGAATACAAATTTTTCATTCAAATTTTACCCTTTATTTTATTTTTTATTATTATTATTTTGCCTCTTTTTTCTTTTAGGAAGAACTCGTTTAATTATAAAACAACAAGCCTCTTTCTGACTGCTGGCGACGACGGGCTGAAATTTTCAATTGAGCACGCACACACATGACGGCGAGATTTCGGGCGAGAGACGCGATAATTTGCACCCGCCAAGGGATGATTAATAAAATTACTCTCGTGGCATTCGAGACGCATGCAGCTGCGCGTTGGCTTGGAGGCTTCTTGATTATTGTTATTAGCACTCCTCTCTTGCTCTGACAAGGATAAATCTGCTCACTTTCAGCAACTTTTGCAACACACACGTACATCGTACACGTTCCCTCGGCTGATTAATTGCGGAAAATGGCTCTGCCCTAAACTTCCATATGTGTGTGTGTGATGAGGGTTTGGGGTTGAAACTTGCGAGAAGAGAGAGCGCAGCTTATTCCGAATGGAAAATTAATTTGACAGCAACTCTGCTGGCAATTTATTTAATTTCTCATGCATTTCCAGGCCTATATATTTTTGTGTACAATATTTAACACAAAGTTCTTTATTTCGGGCGATTTATTTTACGTCTAATAAACTGGGCGTTTTACGATGAGGGACGGAGCAAAAAAGTTGTCGGTCCGTTTGGGTGTTGTTGCAAGTTTACGAGCGGCTCTTTTTCTTCTTCTCTCTGTTTCTCATGTAAAGAGTCCATTTGCACATATCTAGATGAAATAATGTTGCAGCAGCGTGCGAGTGGCATGCCAGTAGGCAATTATTCTGCCAAAAAGAGAAAAGGAAAGCAAGAAACGCGCACGTTTAAGAACAAAACAAGATAGCGTATCGCTCTCTCGTGCGCTCCGAGCGACGAAAAAGCGGCAGAAGAACCGCGAGGGGTGAATAAAAATGCCTTGGTGCATTTATTTTTTTGTTCCCTCTCATCCCTGGCGCTGCTTTTTCCTCCGTTCTAATGAGCAGGAGGAAGGATTTTGGGCCAGTAAATTGGGTTTGCGAGTTCGTTTTTTGCCAGCCTGCAAAATCCTGCAGTAAAGTGGCGAGCGTTTGCAAAGTTAATTATTTTCACATGGATACTGCGTGGCCTTAATTTCGTTTTGAAAACAGCTGGAAAGCAGTTTTTAAGTTTTTAAATTATTTTCTTGGTTTTTCTTTCAAAGTTCTTTCAAAACTAAAATCAATTTAAATTTAGCGAAAAAAAAACATAGATAAATATAAATTATTTCATCTTTAAATTTTGGAGGGGAGTTAATTTAAGTTTTTTTTCTTATACCCAGGACTAAAAATTCTTAAATTTTTTGTGCCCTAAAGACCTGCAAGACTATTGAAATTAACAAGGAGCTTAAGTATGGAATCTGAATTTTTTAAACTTTTCCGTATGAACCCTAAATTTAAATTTTGAGGTTGAAAATAGCTAAATATTGATTTCATTGTTTCACCTTTAGTGCCTGAACGTTTGTTTGATGTTTATTTGTAAGCACTTTTATTCGGTATGGCAAAATAATTATTTAAGAAAATTTCCGTCAATGAGATGATGATAAAAATTCAACTCTAAAATTTTATTGTAAAATATCTACAAACTGCAATTTTTAAAAAAAAAAAAAAAGAGTGGTGTGCAAATAACGCCACAAAAGCACTAGCAATCCATATCTATGAGACGGATATTTTGCAAAAAAAAGTACTTTGCAATTTTACTCACAGGTCAAAACTGTTGTTAATTAAATACTGTATATGTATAATTATCTAAAAGAGTTCAGGATTCTAGGATTATTTTTATATTCAAGCCCACACCCTCCGCCCCCTCCTAAAATAAACATAATTGTGCAATAAAATCGTGGTTTTTCCCAGTTTTTCCAAAGTTCCAATATCTAGGGATAAAATATAAAAAAAGCTTTTTTTTATTTGCAACTAAATGAAAGCGAAACCACGTTTCATGCCGCGACTGTGGAATTGTTTGCCACAAAAAAGCGGCCACTTTTTGCGGATCGCCGATCCTTTTTCATGCGAACGGCATCGTTAATTGCCTGCAACGTGAAATAGAGCGGCGTAAAAGCGTCGGTGCACAAACGAGGGTTGCGTGTATAGGTAGACAAAGGGTTCAGTTCATAGATGTCGAGCACTTTGAAAGTGGCTAATGAAGCGTTTCGCCAATTGAAAGCGCGTCCGTCAATCGATTCTCGTTACCAACGTCAGCACATTCCATCCATCTCGCGCGATTTTCAGTCCGCAAACAACTGTCGCGTTCAATTAACACGCACCCCTCACCATCTGAAATTCTAATCGAGGGGGTGGAATTTTCTCACCTGCTGAAAACCCGCTTCTTTCAATTATTCACGTCGGCACTCTCGGCGCGCCATGACACAAAGTTCAATCTGCAGCTCGGCAGGTAAATGTATTTGCTCATGCAAATTCATGAGAGCCGATTTGCATATTCCCGAGCCGGACCCTTGCAGCTTCCTTGGAGACGAGCGAGCGGCTTTGGCTAATGATATTCCAGTTTTGCTCTCTCAGCGGAAAGCACGGCCGTCGTAGATGCTGACCCCTGAATGGGATTTCCGGCGGCCGCTGCAAGCGAAATTCCACCCTCTTTGCAGCTTTGTTTGCCAAAGAGGGATGCGGAGATTGCGAGACGAGAGCTTGGTAGACACAGAAGCGTCGGACCGTAGTCATGCTTGACAATTCCAAAAAGTAAAATTAAGTCTGAAATTTTTGTTGCTATAGAAGAGCCTAGCATAAAAATTTGAAACTCACAATTAAATTAATTTTTCTTTTAAATTTTAAAGTATTACAAAGAAGAATGAATAATTATTAGGCTTTTATTTGAAATATTTTTAAATTGGAAACAATTTCTGCAAGTAACAACATTTAATTTAGGAGCATTAATCAGATTTGAAGAAGAAACCATTTTTTTGAAAGAGAAATGATTTGACAAAACAACACTCTTGAAGAATAGAAAACCATACAAAAAATATAACCTCTCTGAACTAAAAAATGCACTTATTCCTGAAATATAATTTAAAAAAAAATTAAATTAAGTTGCATCTGTCATGTGTTTAATTTAGCTCAATACTTTTTTTTAAATATTTTGTAGGACAATTAACAGCCAGTAAGCAACTTAATGCATTAATAGTTTATTCATTTATAAGGGTTCACTGCTAATAATTAACTTTTAATGAACTTTGCTGACACAATAATTGCTTTATAATAAACAGAATCCCTCCTTATCAATAAGTAAATTATAAAAATTATATTAATAAAACTCAATCCCTAGATTGGGCCTTTAATTAAAACAAAGTTTTCCGCAGAAGAGAAATAAAAAACTTTAAGAATGTCAATTAAGGAGTCATGCAGCTACTTGTAAATTAATCGTAAATTTCATATCAATCTCAGCTATCACTGTTTGCAACATGTCTGGCTGCGTTCAAACAGTGGCCATACTTCAACAGGCAGACGGCTCGTCGGATCACATGTGTATGCAAACGATACAGGGAGGAGGGAGCGATATAGGACTCCTTGGGGTGCAGGCAGGGAGATAACGCGCAAGGGGATGGCTAGCTCGTCTCTCTTTGTGATGCTGATGGTCCCTGGCTCTCGTCTGGTGATGTAAAACCATGTGTTCTGTGAAGCATCAACACATTATTTCAGCCCCTGATGCATAAACTTTGTGTGTTGTCGGTTAGGGCTGCGCTCGGTTTTGGCCCGGCTGGTCATTGATGTTCACTCGCGTGTGCCTGCATGGAGGGGCCGTCGGGGGTGGAAAAGGCACCCAATTTAGCCTCGGAGGCGGACACAGGGAAAGTGAAATGAGCGCGCGTCTAGTTGACCACGAAACTGCAAAGCGGGATTTGCAGCCCCCGAGCTGCTTTTGCCAGCAACACACTCACTCACTTAATAAACAGCAGTTTGGACAAACGGTTTGTCGGTGAGGTCGTTCGCACACATACACCGGGTGCAGATTTAATTAAGTGTTCAAGCGAAATGTTCTTAAGCAAGCAAGCAGAGCACACGGCCGTTCTTTATGTTGACACAGGTGCGACGAAATGTGCTCGTCAAAGGTTGCGGTGACTTTTCATGGGAGCAGCCGCAAGCGACACACGCGCGAATTTGCATTTTAAACGGGCTGAAAATGACGATGGTTATAAAAGTTTGACAATTTTTCCGACAAGTAAAATTTTAGAGAAAAGTCTCTCAAGTGTGTTGAAAAGTTGGTAAAAATTTGCACAAGTCTGATACAATTGAAGAGATTTAAGCATAAAATTATTTGAATTTAAAAAAAAAAAATACAGCCATATTTATACTATTTCGAATTATGTCATTTGCTGGTATGATTAAATTTCATTTAAATTACAAGCAACAATATAAAATTTCCCTAGATAAGTAAATAATAAGCTTCAAGCAATTTATATTTTAAATTTTTACATACTCTGTGCTTTGTGAATTAAATCTTTTGATGGTTATATAATTATTTGTGTAAGTTGTTGATGTAAATAATCGGATCGTCTGTAAAG